TAGTAGCAGTTCCAGTGGTGGTGGTGGTGGAGGTGGTGGACGAATACACTTTCACTGGTCGGATATTCCTACTGGAGATGTGTATCAGCCAATAGCAACTGTGAATGGGAGCATCTATACAAGGTTTGTGCAGTTATGAATCAACATATTGCTAAAAAATTTATTTCCACAAGTTGTGCTATTGTTAATTTGCGTACTTTGGGATATGCACGGGTCATTTGATAAGTTATGGATAACTTGTGTAGTCATCTTAGTGCATCTTTTTCTAGTCTAGTTATTGTACTATAGAAATTGCTGAAGTAAACAGGTCCATTGTTCCGTGTTCTAGCCTGCTGGTAATGCCATGTTTCAATTCATTGAAAGATGCAATCTTGTTTCCCTGAATTCATAAACCATTTTTTCGAGACTGTATTATTGCACTATCAAGAGATGCAAATAGCTAGACCTGAAATATCCAAATGTTAAGTCTTGTTGTGTTTGCATTCTTTTGCTGCTGTTCGGATTACTTTGCTATGTAATTGGTACTTCTTGTCAAATTCTCTGCTTATAACATGAAGATACATAGTTTCACTTCAATGACTAGATAGAGTTGTAGCCTCACTTTTCATTGTTCTCTTTGGAAGTATGTCACTACATTGCTTATGATACTTCCTGAGCATCTGATTTCAAATTCTAATGGATGTTGGTTTATTAGTTGCATCAATTAGTAATTTGTTATTTGGCCTGATGGCCACAATCAACTTCAGAACCTCAAGTGCAATTTGTTGCTTCATTCTTTGCGGTTGCTTAGCTGGTCTAAGATCCAGTTAGGAGATAAAGCTAGAGACTGGATTAGAAGGTTTTTTTTGGCTGTTAATACATTTTTACAGGATGGATCCTATGAATGCATTTAAGATCTCTGTGACTGACAGGTCATTAAATTAAAGGTATTACAAAGAATTCCATTGTGGTTTCTTCGTGTATCCCACACGTCCTTTTGAGATTTTTGCAAATCTTTTTCTAGGAAGCATCTATGTATTGGTTTATATCTATATACTATATAGTGTTAGCATGTTAGGAGCGATTAGCAATTGGTTAATACTAAAGCCGTCAATATGGGCTTGGCCCGTTGGGCCGGCCCAACCCAGCCCAGGATTTAATAGAGTTGGGCTAAGATTTTTGGAGCCCATTTAAAAATGAGGCTTTTAATCCCGGTCCAATTAAGCCAGTGGCCCATGAGGCTTGACTAAGGCTGGGCTTGGACGGCCCGCGGGCTTAATGAACATATTTAATTAAAATATAAAGAATAGAAAAAAATACAGGAAACTAAAAATAACAAGAAAAGTAGTTCAATCTCAAACCGGTAATATTTTTATGTGAATTTAAATACTTTTTGTTCTTACAATTTTAGTTATTTCTTGATGTTTAACTAATTAACATTGTATATAATTATATATTTAGATGAAAATGAAGATGTTAAGACATTTTTATTTCACAAGAGGATTCAAACGTGCTTGATGAAGATGATTTGTTAGTGCTGGATATTTGAAAATATTTTGAGTAGTTTGTTTTGAGTATTGACTTTTAATGGATGAAGTATTGTCCTCCTTTTTTGTGTTTTATAGTAATCTATTGGAACAATGTCAAAATTTATTAAGTTTTGTAGGTTATAATTTGAATTTTAAAAAATATAAAAAATAAATTTTAAAAAGGTGGCCCGACCCGTGGGGACCCGTGACCCATGTAGGGCTGGGCTGGGCTGGCCATTTTGAGGCCCGTCAAAACAGTGGGCTGAGCTAGGCTGGGTTGAGCCAACCCGTACTGACAGATCTAGTTAATACTGAGTATTTTTCATGAATTTGTTTTGATTATTTTAAATGTGTTCCCTTTTATGGGAAAATCGTCCAAGTTATTGTAAATAAGTTATGCTGGAGGTGAGCGATACGTGAAGGTCCTCAGAAGAGGTCCTCTTAGTCGACCTTCAGATCAATTACTAATCCGGTACAGTTGTTGACTTAACTTTGTAACAGTGGTTCCAGTATTTACCTTTTTTTGTATTTATGTCATGTGTGCTGGTTCTTCAGGGGTGGATTGGGTGGAGAGCAAGGTGGTAGTGGTGGAAGTGGAACTTTGTCTGGAAAGCCATGCCCAAAAGGTCTTTATGGGATTTTCTGTGAGGTAAGTTCCCAATAGTATCTATAAACTTCTCTTTGTATAAGGTTCTTGAATCAGCTTGAAAGAAGGGCAAAGAAAGAACTTCCTGGATGGAGGGGGTGGTCATTTCTTTTTTCCTATCATCAGTCTGTTATCATTTCCAATTGTGTGGGTTTCCAACTTTCCATTGCTTTTCCTTCCCTAAAATTCGGAAATGTATTGTCTGTGAATTTTTCCCTTTTTTTAATTTTATAATTCCTCTGTTGTGTCTATGCAGGAATGCCCGCTTGGTACTTTCAAGAATGTCACGGGATCTGATAGAGCCCTTTGTGTTTCGTGCCTGAGTGATGAGCTCCCACATCGAGCTGTTTATATTTCTGTCCGAGGTATTGCAACTGACGAGCTGTTTATAGCAGCTGCAAAGGCCTTCACTAGTTTCTGTATAATAGAGGAATAAGGAGGCCAGATACAAGTTACTTTCACCAACATAAATGTTATGGCTTTTGGGGTTAAGTTTTTTCTTTAAATAAATAAATAAATAAGAAATGAATCTTTTAAGACACTAAGTAACATTCAAAAGATCTACATCAGTGAAATTAACTTGTATAAGTCTCTGTATTTCCTACATTTTGACAGATTCTTTTCTTATCCTATTTGTTCAGAATTCGTGAAATTTTGTTCTCTACACAATTCTTTGCTGATTTGCGGTTGATGGCTACTCTTAGACTAACTTTAAGAAGCTTTCCTTGTAATAGGTGGTGTTACAGAACGTCCTTGTCCTTACAAATGTGTTTCCGAGAGATACCATATGCCTCATTGTTATACAGCTCTTGAAGAACTAATCTACACGTTTGGAGGACCCTGGCTGTTTGTTCTTCTCTTGTTAGGTCTTCTCATTTTGTTAGCGTTGGTTCTTAGTGTAGCTCGAATGAAGTTTGTTGGTGTCGATGAGTCACCAGGTCCTGCTCCCACACAACAGGGTTCTCAAATTGATCACTCGTTTCCATTTCTGGAGTCATTGAATGAGGTCTGTCCAGATGTCTCTTATTGACATACAATAATGCAACTGTATTAGATTGTCTACTTTTTTACTAGCTTAGGTGGAATTTGAAGGTAAAAAGTGGAATTTGGCATTGGCTTCTTTCAGGTTTTGGAAACAAACAGGGTCGAGGAGTCCCAAAGCCATGTCTATAGATTGTACTTTTTGGGTCCAAACACATTCAGTGAACCTTGGCATCTGTCTCATACACCTCCACAGCAAATAAAAGAAGTTGTGTAAGTTGATATTTTTTCGTTTTATCTTGGCAGTTTACTCTTGTTTTGAATGTGTTGCTTTGGTTGTTATGTTTCAATGAAGTCATGTTTTTTTTCAAGTTTACTCTTGCTTTAATCCAGAAGGGAAAATGAGGGAGGAGGAATATGTATCTCTTTCTGCCTCCATTTTCTCTGGCTGGTTCTTTTCTTCATTTTAATATTTTCCCCAAAATCTGGAGTCTTTGTCTTTCTTCTTCGAATAATTTATACAAACTGGGAATAGCCATTCAGTAGTTCTGTATTTAACTGCCAGATATGAGGGTGCCTTCAACACCTTTGTGGATGAGATTAATACTATTGCTGCCTACCAATGGTGGGAAGGAGCAGTGCATAGCATTCTTTGTATCCTTGTGTATCCTCTTGCATGGTCATGGCAGCAATGGCGGCGTAGAATGAAGTTACAACGTCTTCGTGAATTTGTTCGATCAGAATATGATCATGCTTGCTTACGTTCTTGTCGATCACGTGCTCTTTATGAGGGGCTGAAGGTTAGATTATACTGTACTTTGGTCAGATATCATTTGTCATTATTTTATTTTTAAGCATGTTTAGAAATTTGAATGGGTGAAGTTTTGGTTCTTTCTGCTATTTGCTGTTCAAACTTCAAACTCCATTTTTGTACTCTGGCTTTGTGTACGCTTGTTTTATGCAGATGACAGTCTTTTGGATATTTTTCTTGCAACACTTTATTTGTTCATCAATAAAGTGGCATAAATGTATTGTTAAGTTTGAACAGCATCTTTATTTTGTCAGAGTTTCTAATTGGACCAACTATATCATGTTGAGCAGGAAAAAGTAGCATCTCAGTTGTGTGATAGCTCTGCGTATTTTTTAGTACAGCCATTGTGTCTTGTATTTTGACTTTGTACTGCCATCCATATGATGTAACTCACAATTTTGATTTCAGCCACTGCTTTTTAGTTTTCCACTGTTGATTTCTTCCTAAAATTAAAAGACTTCAATCCAAATTCTCTTTCAACCATAGTGGACCGCTTCTAAAGATTAGCATATTATAAATGACTCCTGGATATATCAGACAGAATTTGTTAATAAAGTATTAATTTTATGATATCAGATGATGAATTAAATTATTTTCTTAATAACATTAGTTTTGATTTTCTTTTTCGGTTGCAAAAATGTGTCATTTCACCCTGTTTTATTTGATTTTATGTTCAGAGTCCCAAAAGCAAATTTTACTGAACCATGTGGTTCGAGAATGACTTCTCAACCTTAATTATAGGTCTTCATGACTGTAGGTAGCAGCAACACCTGATCTAATGCTAGCATATTTAGACTTCTTTCTTGGTGGTGATGAAAAGCGAAGCGATCTTCCTCCTAGTCTTCACCAAAGATTTCCGATGTCCCTGCTATTTGGTGGTGATGGAAGTTATATGGCTCCATTCTCACTCAATAATGACAATGTTCTTACCAGTCTTATGAGTCAGGTTAGCCATGATCCAATGCAAAAAAAAAAGTTAGAGAAGCAGGGATTTCCTGATGCTTTTATTCACCTTGTACTTAAAGATATGCTATTGTTTTCAGTCTGTTCCACCTACTACATGGTACCGTCTTGTGGCTGGTTTGAATGCACAGTTGCGCTTGGTTCGTCGGGGTTGCCTTAGTACAATGTTTCGCCCGGTGCTTAGATGGCTTGAAACTTTTGCCAATCCTGCTTTAAGGGTCTACGGCATCCGCGTGGATCTTGCATTGTTCCAAGCAACAACTGATAGCTATACTCAATTTGGACTTTCGGTGTGTGTTATCGAAGAAGAAACTGGACTAGTGTCTTTTGAAGGGCTTGATGAAGGCTCCAGAAGTGAACACCTATCAAGGTATGGTGTGCACTTAGAGTTTCCTTTAGATCCTTTATTTGGTTTCTCCTGCATTTTGTCCCGACTCCGGTCCATTTGGACATATTCCTTCATCTGGACTCTCATACTTCTCATTGTTTCACTTTTATCTGTGACTTTTATTTAAGTCATGAATACATGTTAAATATGTATTCATTCGTTTATGCACTGTTTGTGTTGCTATCAGTTGCTGTCATTATTGTGAAATTGTTACATGGTCATCTTATGGTCACTGAAGAAGGACCGCGGGGGAGTGGTAGAAGAGGGCAGGGGTTTAATCATCTGAATATTCTATCACTGATTAGTTCATGTCTGCAAGTTAAAGTGTTTAATAATATGTAACGACTCTAAAGTCTAATGGATTTGGAGAGTCTTGCTTGAAAGAAGAACAATTCATAGCTAGTTCCTCCTTGAACTTTTTTTTATTCCAGTCTGCCATTTTTGCTATTTGCTCTAGGCACCCCAAATATTTTCAACTTTTAATGTGGAGGAAGGTAACAATATTAATCTCATATCTTCCCCCTTTTGTTTGCTCCCCCAACTGCAATGGACCTAATTGATCTATTTGTTTCGTTGTTTGCAGTGATAACAACACAGACATACAGAATTCTCCGCGCTATCTAAGAGATGAGTCAAACTTAAGGGGGGATGACAAAAACACTGTAAAGCGGAAGTTTTACGGAGGGATTTTGGACATTAACAGCTTAAAAATGCTTAAGGAGAAAAGAGATCTGTTTTATATTCTCTCTTTTTTAATTCATAACACTAAACCAGTTGGTCATCAGGTCGGTCTCTCTCTCTCTCTCTCTCATCGGGTGGCCTTGAAATTTTGTTACTGAGAACATTTTGTTAATGTTGCAGGATCTTGTTGGTTTGGTCATTTCGATACTGCTGCTAGGCGATTTTAGTTTAGTGCTGCTTACTTTGCTCCAGCTGTATTCGATTTCCTTAGCGGATGTCTTTCTGGTTTTGTTTGTTTTACCTCTTGGAATATTATTTCCATTTCCTGCTGGAATCAATGCTCTCTTCAGTCATGGGCAAAGGCGTTCTGCGGGTCTTGCACGTGTATATGCAATGTGGAACATTACATCCCTGATTAATGTTGTAAGTAACTTTACCCTTTACCCTTAAAAATGAAAAGAGTAATTACGCCTGTAGCGAACTTGTTTTGGTAATCTATCTGTTCCTTTCCCAACTTATTTACCTTTTTAGGGCCCATAAACAGTCAGCATTCTTTAAGTGGTCCTTATATTCTGCCTTCTCTTTCCTTGTGCCTTTCTTTTTTCTCTTTACTTACTGGGTCATACTCTGGGATTGACTGGAGGGAAAGCTGCATTATCACTGATGCTCGATATAAAAGTCTCATCAGTGTAGGACTTTACATCTTCTCTGGTGATATACTTTGTCAATTTCTGTTCTTTTCATCTGTTAGGGTTTTTTACCCCAATAAAGTGTCAATTAGTTAGGAGTTATCAATTTGTATACTTCAAAATGCAATCATTTGGATCTACTACCTCTCCCAAATTTGAACCCTGTCCTCTATTGAACCCTAAAAGAGATATTGTAGTAGCACGTTCTCAGTTACATAATCTACCACCAAATAAGTGCTGTTCAATGAGTACCATTTATCTTTCTTAACAGTTTTTGCACTAATGTCCATATCCAGTTCAAGTCAAAATTCATCATTCAGTTTTGGTTGGTGTTTTCAAAACTAACTTGGGATGTACATTCATCTACTGAGATGGTTGAATTGCATGTCACCATAACTTATGATTTTTCTAATTGACCAATTAGAACCATTCGCTGTCTAAACTCTCCACTGAGGGCGTAAATTCATTTCATCAATATGTTTTACTGACTATTTTCTGGTTATGCCTACTTACTGCTCTGTATATCATTTATCTCATGCTAGATTGTCACATTTGTCTGTGGATATGTCCACTATAGCACCCAATCAAGCAGAAAGCTTCCTTACTTCCAGCCATGGAACATGTAAGCATTCTGAAGTTTGTCCAATGTTGTCATCTGAAATTTATCCAATTTCGCTATCAAATAATGCTTTTGCTATTGCAGGGATGAAAGTGAATGGTGGATATTTCCTTTCGCACTGGTTCTGTGTAAATGTATCCAATTGCAGCTCGTAAATTGGCATGTTGCTAATCTAGAGATTCAAGATAGGTCGTTGTATAGCAATGACTTCGAACTGTTTTGGCAATCATAGTACAAAGCTGAGCAGAAATATTCCGCTAACACCCTATCTTTTTTCTGGGTTCATTTAGATTTTTCTACATCACCCACTTTTTGCCTTTTTTATAGTCGTTTAGATAGTGAATTGTCACAGATGTAGAAAGGAATTGGGTAGACAACAGAAGAAAGTTGAAAGAGTAGATAGAAATACCGAGAGAGGCATTCATTGTGTAACACCCTCCACTTTTGGTTGTGCAGTTGTGTTTCTTCACTGTAAATATCCAAGATATATATCCTTCTGGAATTCTAATGTAATCTTCGGGTGATGCTTATTAGTTTATTATTCAATAAGATGTGATTTTCTAGCTGAGTTCTGTTGCCTTATCAGTATCTCGACTGAGTTGCTGTTTTGAGTTTCTTTCTTGTACTGTGTACAGGTTGCCCCTGCTTGTATAGTTTTCGAAAAAGAACAATGGTGATAAAACAGCTCTGGTTGAGTCAGTTGATTTTTTTTTTGTTGTTAGAGTTTGAAGATTGTTTTAAGTGTGGGTAAAAAGGATTTTTTTTTTTTTTTTTTGGTAACAGAACAAAGAAAAGGCAGGAAAGTTCTCATTTTATAAAACACACAACATTTGAATCCTTTGTTGCGTGTTTGTTGGTTTCTCGTACATAGTTACTTTGGTCGTATTAATGACAGATTGAATCGTAACGTTAAGTTCGGTTTGAATTGGAATTCAACTTTAAATTTTGACAGCACTGGGAAAAGTAAAAGTCAAATGGCTAAATTAAACAGATTACTTATTATTCCGTCTGTTTTCATTTACTTGTCTTCTCGAAAGTCAAGTGAATATTTCTTTGCCTTTCTTTCTAATAAATGGCTACAACCTTTTTCTTTGACTAAATGGCTACAACCTTTTTCTTTGACTAAATGCTTACAACCTTGTTAAACTAAATGAGTTCCGAGTATACACCGATGCTTTTGTTGTTATGAATTAGTGATTGACCAGCCTTATATTTAAGAACCTAGTCAATTGTTTACTTAGTTAACGAAATAGAGCAAATCTGCAAGCTCACTCAACCAATTTTTAGGACTCTAAGTGGATCAGATCTGATTAGAATCTTGAGGAAGTCTTCATTTGTTTGTCATTATATTTCATCCATGCTATCTCTTCTATGGAATTCAAACCGGAACAATGACCATTTTAAGGAAGCGCGCGAACACACATAGTAATAGGTTTTAGGGGCTAAATGACGTTATGTTCTAAATATCGGACAAGTATGAAATGTACATAATACCAATTCAGATACTTGTGCACTTTCTAGATGAGCAATAGAGCAACTGAATAGAGATAACAGCAGTAAGACACTAACTATGCAACATGAAAAAGAAAGAGTTCATTTGCATCTAATCTAAATACATCTGGGAAAAGATTTTGGAGGGATGAATTCTAGTCTTTCTTCTAATCAAAATACATCAACAAAAAATCATGGTCTTTCCGTGAAAGTAAAATGTAATATTACCTAAATAATATTACTCCTTATTCAACACTTTGGGAACTTTGATGTAAGGCTCCTCAAAGCTTGGCACAACAGAAATCAATGCTTCCCTGTTGAGGAAATTGCATACAAGAATCATTCGTTTGCTACCATAGGGCCATATAACATAAAAGAAAGTTGATGGAGGAAAGCAACATTACCTATTCTCAAACTTTTCAGGTACATCATCGCGCAAATTATCTCCCTCAGTATCTGTAGATCAAGAAAAAAATTGCCAAAACGAAATATTTCAATGTTGCATCAAATGCTTGTTGTTCAAAAGTCTAGTGCTCTTGCAATTAATACACAAGTCAGAAAAGAAAATCAAACAAAACATTCTGATTGTTCAAGTCAAGAGACACAGAATTCCCAAGCAAATGATTTTAATTGATAGCCTAATTGTATCAACTTGACATTTTTACAAGATCCAGATGAAAAAAGAAGAACAGTAACCTTGACTGTTTAACCTATTGTTAGTCTACCCAAGCATGGCTAAAGCTTCTTCCAGGAATCCATTGCTAAGTCTACTCTGCAAAGGCTAACACAAGTAAACTAGAACACGAGAGGAGAAAAAAGGGATGAGGTAGGCGTTAGTTGCTGTTCTATTAATAGAATACAATCTGCAAGGAGATAAATTTCTTCATTATTGGGTGTCCGATAGCTGACACTGAAGATCAGTCAATGAAATCTTTTAGCATGGCATATTTGGTGCACGGCCAACTCAAAAAAGAAAATATGGGGGAAAAAGTCTCTGTTTTGGTGCTTATAGCCCGAGATGAGAAGGCAGGCATTCCTATACCATTTTTTCCTGATTTCATGCCAAATGATGCAAGCACTATTTTGAGAAACATATGACATTATCTTCAAGAAAAAAAATATAGAACTTCAAAAGAAAAGAAAAAAAATCAAAGAGAAGTATTCAATTAAGTATCTTAAGCACCTGCCCTTAAGGCTGGCTCGATACTCTGCAGATCAACAGCTTGAAGTTGTCCAAACCTGTTTCACCAACGAGGAAGGCACATCAAAACATGAAAAGTAGACAATGCCCCATTGCAGAACGTACCAAAAGTAAAAAATGTACCATCGGTCCCCTCCCTCCCTCCCTCCTTCCCTCCCTCCTATTAGCTAGGAAAGACAAATATCAAGTATCCACCAAATTCTTGGACTAGTGCCTTGCAAGCTTCAACGGTTCTAACTATTTCAAGCTCAAGCACACCCGGAATTCTAGCTTGAAATAAGAACTCTGAACATTAGTTTCAGAACTTGAAGACAAATTTTGGTGATTAATTAGACGACGATTCATCAAACTGCTCCATTCCTCACCCTGCTCGCAAAGAGGGGAAAAGAAAAAGACATATATTACGTGTGTCTTACACACATTGGGGGTTCTCCTAATACAAACTGAGCAGCAACTTCATGTTACTCAGTTTTATCTACCACTTGAGTTCTAAGATACATAACTCTACTATCTTTAGCATAGTTAACTTAGCTAAAATAAATGTAAATGACAACACCTCTAATGTACTAAAAGGCAATAGGTTCGAACCCTGCATCATATATTTAAGTGGAGAAGGGTAGAAGGGTGAGTCCATTATCGCTGAGTTCGAAGGATGCGGTTCGTCCTAAGGGTTGGCCCTAGATGGATTTCTCAGTCATCATTAGTTAAAAAACAACAACTTCTCAGGTCACTAAATAAGTAATACGACGATGAAAATAAAGCCTCGTAACCAAATCAATAAAAATTATGTTCAAAGGGACTAAGTTGAATTAAGAGCAAGATATCAATTAACTGTTGAATTTGAAAAGTGCTTAACAAACATATCCCTCCTCATAACTTTAATATCAATAAATCACTGGAAGAAAATTAAAAAGGCAACAACTTTTCAATTATTAGAACACCATCTTAATTCCTTTTTAATATTAACCAATGACTTAGAAGCAAACATATACAGAGACAAAAAATGCAGAGAAAGAACGGTACCAATCTATAACTTGTCGAATTTTGGGAGCAAATTCTTCAACCTACAAAAAAAAACCAAGATTAATTTTGGAATGTATAAACAATAACAATAAGGTTAAATATGAAAAGAATAATAATTACTTGTTGAGGGATGAGTGAAATTCGAGCAGTTTCAGCCAAACGAGGAACATCGGGAGGCTCTAGAACACTCGATTTCATAGAGTAGCTTCTTCGCTGCTTAATAGACAGTGGTAATGAGGAAATGCCATTTTTAGTGAAACTGAAGAAGAAAGAATCAGTGGCTGGTTTCAGCAAATGCAAAGCTTTGATGCTGCTTCCCATGGATAGATGGTGTTTGTTTGTTTGACGAGGATGACGATGATACTGCAGCTATAAATGAAGTTCTCTCATTTATTTTGGACTTAAGCCCATATTCACATTTTGGGCTAGACTGTAATTGTTGTAAAAATTGCACGAGCGATCGTTCCCATTTAACTTATCCCTATTTTTTTAAATTTATTTTACTTGTACCTATTTTTTAAATAACTTCAGCCCATTTTCTCCTCGTCCTTGAGAATCTCAACTAAGAACCTTAGGATGTTCTTTCCATGCAGTGATACTATATAAATGAACACTTTCTTCTTGGTCTTTCAGTACCAATCTCCTTTTACTATTTTTTTTTGTTTAACTGGACTCTAACAAGTAACACCCACAGAAAACAACAAGGATCTGCACAATCTCTTGAATACTTTAGAACATAGAATCTGGCACTTTAAATTTTTTAACCTCTTTTTTCTCCTCTATTTAGCTTCATCTGACCATGAATAACCACAATGTCCAAGTTTGTTCTTACTGCTATAAAGTTGTAGTATTAACATGTCTTGTCATTGTAGTCTTAAAGAAAATAGAGTGACTCGATCTCCTGTCATTGTATTCAAAGATACTATAATAATTTCTGTGTGCAAAAAAAGATCTCAAAATTAGTTACGCATGTGTCTTTTACAAGACAAAGCACGTGAAGAACCCTACTTGTTTACTTCTTTCAATCTTTTCAAGTTTGTTGGATATTTTTGGAATCTGAGATCATCTGTATTTTCAGGTGAATGTACTTGCAACATCAAAGTTGATCAACCGCGAAACACCAAAAATAGTATTGATTCCCTCAGACTTAAGCTATAGAGCTGAAGTTCGCCAGTTACAAAACAAAAACTTCAGCTCTAGAGCTGAAGTTCGCCAGTT